TATAATGCTTTCTGATTGCTTTTGAGACTCCCATCAGTTCAATGTGATTGTGTCCTCTAATGCCCTAGTGGGCTCTCATGTAGATTAATTTTATTCAGTTCATTTCATCAAGTATCTTCATTAAGTATCTGTTTTCTTTTCATCAACAATGTTTTCAACCTCCCATTTCTTATGTTTATCATCTCCATACTTATTATTGACTAGTGTTGATGGTAGCTGAAGCTTGTGTACAATTTGTGAAGAAAAGAGATTCTTGAGTGTCAGTTGAAGAAGCTGGATGTTAAACACATCATGAATTTCTGAGAGAGTGTCAAGATGATAAGCATGTAATTCAATAACTTTAATAATTATATACTTGATATTCTTTGCATCAAGTTTCTTACTTGATCTGTCTGTTCTTACATTTTAAAGATTCAGTCAGATCTTATCTTTTATTTTGTAGTTGTAGAATATCTTCTGTTTTTAATTTGCATATTATTTCTGTAGTTTCTGAACTGTGACAATAGCAGTCTGTGCAGTTTTCTGTGTGTCTTGAAGTTTTCTAATTATTGTCTCTTCTTGCTGTGTTGAGCTTTAATAATCTTCTGTTGTCAAACTTGAGAGCTTCTCTATCAGTTTCAATGATTTGACATTGTACTCATGAGTAAGAAAGAAGAGTGAGAATTCAGTTGATTTTGCTTCTTGATTATTAATTGTCAGTTCTTCTATTAAGAGTTAATATTTTCAGTCTGATTGCATGTGATCAATATACTTCTGTAAAAATGTCTCAAGAATCTGATTCATTCTCTCTGTTGATCTGTCTGTTTCTGAATGTTATGTGGTTGAAAGTCTCTAAATTATATGCAGAAGTTGACAGATTCTCTTCTATATTATTTCAACAAACTGTAATTTCTAATCTGATACAATTGTGTTCAGTAGATCATGATGTCAGTAGACTGATTAAATGAACATTTCTGTGACTGAATCTGCTATTATCTTTATGCAGAGTTCAAAAATCACTCTCTTTGTGAGTTGATCTGTCACAATTATTATGTTTGTGCAGCTGTCTGATTCAGATAGTTCAGTAATGAAGTCTATTGAAATTTCACATCAGAACTGATTGAAAATTGACAATGACTTCAGTAAGTTCTGTTGTTGAGTCTTTCATAAGTTAGCTGATCTATAGATGTTATAGTTTCTCACAAATTGATGAATATTCTGATAACAGTCTGATCAGAAGAAGTGTCTTCTGATTATTATAATTATAAGATTCTGTTCAGAGTGACTGATGATTACTGAGTTGTGAGTGTTCTGAATGATTTGCATGTGTAGAGATTTTGAATCAGATATCATTTAGTGATTTTGTTAATAAATTTCACCATTTTTAATTAAGCACTCACTTATTGATAGCTTAAATTCTGTTGATGCTGAAAACTTTCTATCATCTCTTTCAACAGCTTTGATGACTTTCTGAAGTATCTGATTCTTGCTGTATATCTGTTTTCAGAAGTTTTCTAAACTCTTCTCTTCTCTTATATTTATTAATATAATGACACTATCATTAATCTTCTCTGCAGTTATGAGTCTGACTTTAAGATTAAAAGATTCTTTATCAATTATCTGTAATTGCAGCAGTATCATATCTTGATAATTAATCTGCTCATCAGCTTTCTTGAGCATGTTCTGCTCTTGTCTTGATAGTGTATTCACAAGTGTGTTCTTCAGTTCAGAATGATATTTAATGATAAAGTTAAACTGACTCAAGAACTGTGCTCATCTCATTTAGTGTTCAGTTAAGCATCAGATTATTATAAAGTACTTGAGATTCTTATAATCTATTATAATCTGAAACTTGTCAACACTTTAAAGCTTGACTTTTCACTTCTTCAGACAGTATATGACTGTCAGAAGCTTCTTGTTGTGAATTTTATAATTGCATTCAGCTGATAGATTCTTCTTCAAGAAGTATGTGTATGATTGTAGAAACTCATCATCATCATATTACATTAGAGAGTCATTTATCACATAATCAGAAAAGTTAATCTTGATGATGATCTTCTGATTAGAACTAAACTGTAGCAAGATCTTGTTGAATGTGAATATACTCTTTAACTTTTTAAAGACTTCATTTGCATTCTCTGTTCATTTAAAAATCACATTCTTCTTCATCAGAGTGACAAGAGGTGCCATCAGAGTTGAGAAATCTTTTATAAATTATTAATAAAAGTTGATAAACTTCAGAAAGCTTTAAACATTCTTGACAGTCTTTGAAGCTATTTATTTCTGAATAATCTTGATTTTCTTTAAGTTCATATGCACACTCTTTTCTGTCTCAATAATGAATTTCAGATAGATTGTCAGCTTTGTCTCAAACTCACATTTGTCAATTTCAATCTGTAAACTAATCTGATGAAGTTTCTTTAGAATCTGTTGAATGTGATCTTGATGCTGTTCCAATAATTTATTAATAAAGATAAGAATATCATTTAAGTAAGCTGAATAAAACTTGTGAAGATATTCACAAAATGTTCAGTTTATGTACTTCTGAAAGATGCTTGATGTGTTTGTTAATCTAAATAAAGTCATCAATCATTCAAAGAGATTATATCTTGTCTGAAAGACTGTCTTTCATTCATCATCTTCAGTAATCTGTATATTATGGAAGGCTGTGATGATGTCAAGCTTGATGAATCAC